GTGACGTAAGTGATCTCAGAGGAGAAAGCTTGTTGATTTGTATTCTTATATTTCCCACTGCCAGGTAAACTAGAATTTCAATCCAAATTTTCATATTCTTTTTCCTCCCAGCCCTAGTTTCTTTTTTCTTCTACTTTCTGTTCGAATTGCTTGGATTTTTCATTTAACTATGAATCGAATTCTACTGTTCTTGAGGTCGATTCTACTGAATTTTCCAATGAAAACTATTCTTGAGTTTTTTAATTGAGTTGCTCGAATCACTGTAGTTTTGTGTGTCAACTAGCTCAATTTTGTTTATTTATTATTATTATTATTATTTTATTTTTTTTTGGACTTATACAAATACTGATTTTTTCAAAAAATTTCACATGGATTAATTTATTCATATATTGAATTCTACATGTTTATTTGGCTGGCTGTGAGTTTGTTTTGAAACTATTGGTAAATGTTTGAAAATGGATGAGTCAGAGTTGACAGTTGGTGAAACGTCTACAATGAGTGATGGGTTCTGGTAACATTTGGTATATATATATTGTGTGGTTGCCTTTGCTTAAAATGGTGTGATCTTGTGTGCGAATCATTGAGTGCGTTGGGCTCGGTTTTGTGTTTTGGCTTGTTGAATGATTAGGTTTAATTACTTTATCTTTAAGTGTGGAGCTCAATTGATTTTCTTTCAAACTTTTCAGCCTCTTTATACTTGGATATTTATTAACTTCTTAGCAGATAGGAGTAGTCTAGATATGATCTCAAGTTTGCTCCTTATTAGCAAGGAGATCATTACTTATTAGTTGTTCAAACCTATCAGAACAAATATGATACCTCGTCCAAGACTGTTCAAACCTCTCAAAACAAATATAATACCTCTCAAAACTAATGTAATACCTCGTCGAAGATTAAAATGATCAGTGTGCATGATACATGTTATAGATCTTATAATATTGTTTTTTCTTTGCTATGGCTACACTTAATCAGAACAAAGTACTTGGGGCACTACCTTTTGTATTTTGCCCAGGGTCTATTAATGTTCAGGACCGGCTCTGCGCATAAGAAATAACGCGAGGCACCTGTTACCGAAGAGGAGGAGGCGACAATACGGCAGCTATACGACGGCACAACGACGGAACAACGGTCTCACTCACAGGTCACAAAGAGTCGAAGGCCACACAAAAATTCAGAGTGTATCATCAAGAACAGAGAGTGAGAGAGAGGAGGTTCTTATATGATGCAAGATTGAGGGTTAAGGGTTTTTATATGATGCAATCCATGGACATGATTTAATGTCAGTGAAGTTTCTTTACAGTAGCTCTATGTTCCAATGTATGTCTGTGTTATCCAATACTTTTACCCAAATTAGTTCTTTGTGTAACTGAATTATCTGGAGGTAAATAAATATTATTTCGATTAATGTCAAATTCAATTTTCTAATAGAAATCAAACTCGTTTCGTTTATCAAACGAAGCAAGAAGAACCAATTAACTTATGAACAACTCTTTTGAAAATAAGGTTCCCTATAGTGTCATTCGTGTACAAAAACAGTTTGAAAATTAACATTTCATCCTTTATTACTTTTTTATTCACATTTGTCCCTCTAAATATTTTATTTAGTCCAAGCTACACGAATGACTTCATAGGTCTAATTATTATTATATTTACATATTAAAAGAATTTATTAGACAAATTGGGCTCTGTCACAAAAAATAGTAACACCAAAAGATTGAAAAGGCAAAAGGCCTTTTAATTTATTTTATTTATAATTCCTAGTCCAACCATTGTGCCATCATTTACTTGCAAATTTGTAAAGCAAATAATGATTGATCGGATCTCGTAAAAAAATTTAAAATAATCTTGTTTACGAAGTTACCGTGTATCAAAGTTTATCAATAAATTATCCTCTTCCCCCTTTTTTTTTTTCTTTTTGTTTTTCCTAGGGTTGAATTTCATACTCAATCATAGTGAAAACCTATTGGTTTGGCCTGGTTATATATATAAAAAAAAGGTATTTTTCTGTTCGGTTATTTTTTGCACAAACTGATTATGTTTTCTATATGTATTTGTATTAACTGAATTACCGACTATATATGTACAAAATGTATGGTTTCCTTATTTTATGTGAACTAATGGGTTCCGATTCTTGGTTTTTATTATTCGACTCTTCATTTATGTATTGTTGTTCTCAATTTTCGATGAAATTGTAACTTTTTAAACGCTTGTTAACGCAAAAATTTATTATTACTAATTTTTTTTTTTTGCTCAATTCAATTACCCAATGAATCTGATTAATCGAACTATTGTAAAGTTTAGTTCCTGCAAAATACAATATATTAAACCAAATCAATTATATTGGTTCGACTCCGGTTTCATATCCTACAAAATATGCACAAAATATGATAAGAACCGAACCGATTCTCAAACTCAAACCTATTTTTTTTTTTTTACCTTTTTTATTTAATCCCAACCTTTTGTGAATTATTGATGGTCAAAACTCAAAATACAAGGTAACAAGCATCAATATATATTTCTCTCTCTCTCTCTCTCTCTCTCTCTTTCTTGGCACATTCGGGGGACATGGCCTCACGTGCGAGATGCCATGTGAGCATTTGATTGGGTGCAACTTGTTTTTATTTTATAATTTGTTCATATAAAAATTACTATCCTTTCCTTTGATCCCTCAGCTGAAGCCCTTTATAAGGCAATCGCTCCGGCAACTGCTTCCTCCGCCAATGTCTCAACTTTACGTGTAACAAATAAGCTCACAAAAAAAGAGCCCAAAATACAAAATATAAATAAAAATGACTCTTGAGGCAATATATCAGCAAGACCCGTTTATGTATGGTTACAGGGATTATGGTTACAATATGGGTTTTGCCGGATACCATGAAAACAACCTGCCGGAGGAGGATAACGGCCAGCCGGTCAACAACGCCGGGAACTGGGACTCGCCGCCGACGACACACAACAGCAGCTCCTCGTCGGAGGGGACCTGCGGCGGAGGGGACGGGTTCTTCGGCGGCGCCGGAGGGGAGGTCATGTACGAGGCGCCGGGGGCGGAGGCGGCCGGAGGCGCGCGGCGGAAGAGGCGGCGGGCGAAGGCGGTGAAGAACAAGGAGGAGATGGAGAACCAGAGGATGACCCATATTGCAGTCGAGAGGAACCGCAGGAGGCAGATGAACGATTACCTGGCCGTGCTCCGGTCGCTCATGCCGCCGTCTTATGCTCAGAGGGTATGTATTTGTGTATGAAAATATTGCATCGAATTTATATATTTTAGTTCCATTACATTATTATTATTAATTAAATGTACTTAGAAACACAATTCGGAATTAGAGATCTCAGATGAGGAATAATTAAGAACATAACAATGGTTTATGACTTATTAGTCTGGTTATTATTATAAAAAAAAAATTATTTGAAATTTACCCCTAGTTGATGTTGTTAAATTAAACGAGTCTGGTTCGGCTCGACTCGAGCTCAACTCTTTAAGGCTCGAGTACGGCTCTAGTTTGAGGCCCTAGCGAGCCAAGCTCGACTCGATAAAGCTCGAAAAATGAAATTTTATATAATTTTTTATAGTTCGGCTCGATAAAGCTCGAGCTCGAGACTTTAACCAGCTTGTTTACCGCCCTACCCCAGTTGCATCAACTTTTATTTATTTAATATTTAATTTACTCAGAATTTGAAACTTGTGATGAGACTATTAAAAACCATATCCACACCCCTATTAGAGTTGAATGATATATTTTTAATTGTCATTTGAGAGTCAAATTATATACTTTATCGACATTTATACATTTTGAAGATTAGCACAAATTAAATTATTTTGAAATTAAAAAAAAAAAAAAAAAAACAGTAAGCAAAGACTAAGTTACAGAGTAGTAACTAATGTCAACTTTACATAGACTTTTTTTACCAAATATATTTAAAATTATTTAATTGTTTTCATCCAATTAATAAATTAATTTAATATTAAAAAAATTTAAATAGGGTGATCAAGCGTCCATCGTCGGTGGCGCCATAAACTTCACCAAGGAGCTGGAGCAACTGCTCCAATTCCTTGAGGCCCACAAGTTGACCGGTCAACACCCGAGGATGGTCAACGCCGCATCGTCCATGTTCTCCAACTTCTTCACCTTCCCGCAGTACTCGATGAGCCAGCCGTCGGCCGCCGCCTCCGCCGCCGAGGGCGCGGTGGAGAAGCGGTCGGGGGTGGCGGACATCGAGGTATCGATGGTGGAGAGCCACGCGAACGTGAAGATCCTGTCGAGAAGGCGACCCAAACAGCTCCTTAAGATGGTCGCCGGATTTCAGTCCCTCAGCCTCACCATTCTTCACCTCAACATCACCACCGTTGACCAGTGCATGCTCTACTCCTTCAGCGTCAAGGTCGGTTGCCAAATTACCGTTTTGCCCTTGTTCATATTTCAATTTGTCAAAGTAGCGAGCAAAATTAAATTAAAGCTTACGGTCTCGTTACAGAATTATTTCCGTTTGATCATTATGTAACTGTCAGTGATAGTTGATCTATCGGTTGCAAACTCCGACAAAATAGTTCCGTAACAGAACCGTACCATCTCCCTTAAATTAAATTGTGCAAGCAATAATGATTTAGTTTAATTAAAACTTGTTTTTGATTAAAGTAAATTAAATTAAATTGCAGGTTGAGGATGAGTGCCAATTGACTACAGTGAACGAGATCGCCACGGCGGTGCACGAGATGATGGAGATGATCCAAAGAGAGTACCAATCCAACGGCGGACACGCCGCCACATGAGCCGGTGGCAGCTAGCGGCGGACCCGGAATTTATTCTGTAATTTTTATTTTTTTTTTTCGGTCTAATTATTAAACGGTGGAATACATTTAATATATTGTTGT